GGGGGTGCACCCACCCAGCTGGTTCCGCCCCTGCCAGTAGTGGTTTATGGGCGCCCCCCGGGGGCCTGACTGGTTCCAATTTCGATAGCGCCCCGTCCAGGACCTATTATAGGCATTACCAGCACAATCAAACTGTCAGATTCGTTTGATATAATTACAGTTTACTGCGCCGCGCCCCGCCGAGCCCGACCCCGCCTCGCCACGCCGCGCCCCGCCCCCCAGAGGCTCCACCTATGTCCCTCTTGTCATCGGCCGTCATTAGCGCCTTTCACCCACCCTCAGTGAGCGGGCAGCAGTCAGGATTTCGCAGCAGGATTTGCTCATACAATATGACAAGCAACAAAATTGCCAAATAGAGTAGCACAAAAAATATCGGAATTGTACGTGCCTCATAAAACAAAGGTAGAGAAAGAAGACCCTGTTGAGTTTTACTTCACTAGCATCGTATTATAAATATGCAGGGATGGGCACAAATTTTTATGTAATGTCTCGTGCGTTTTACAGTCAGAGTCACTAATAATGACATTATTAATTATTATGATATTTATGTAATTCTCAGAAAGTGGTACTAACTTAATATCATACCGCGACGTGCAGTAAGGTGGAAGGAGCACATTTCCAGTCAGCTTGCTGACAAAGAAAAAGTATGCGTGATTGCAAACACGTAAGCGTCGGGCAGGGGGTGATGGAAAAAGGGGGGGGGGGAGTCACATTCGTACAAGAGTGCCACCGTAGCGACGCACACGCACATACGCAGCGTGTACGCGTCCCCAATGAGGAGTTCACAAAGGAAACACCATAGAGCTTTATAATTGAAAACGAAATATAATCCCCGACGTGTCAGAGAGTGCAAGTCAGCGCAGCGCAATGGGACATTATGGAAATGCTGCGACGGTCAACGCACTCAACGGACGGCTGCTGATGCCGACGCAAGAACGCTGATACATCCATTGGTGTGGAAATTAGCCCCGCGTTGTTCAGAATAGGGAATTCATATGTCTCTAGAGAAAAGAGTATCTACAAAGTATGAGTTTTCGGTTTGCAACCAGTGCGGCGAGGGGCCTGAACAGAAGAATGGTGGTAAAAAACAAAGATTACACGCAAACCAAGACGAAAAGACCATTCTCGTCTCTCCAAGTTGCGCACGTTATAGGTCACGGCAAATGGATGCTCGTTTTGTCGCAGAGCGTGCAACATGGCGTGGCGTGGCTTGGCGCCCCGCGTTGTGCAAGGCGCAAGGCTCCCGTCATGTGCGAGGACTTACGTTCATTTACGGCCCATTATTTGCCGGACTAATCGAACACGGCGACAGTAATTGGATTGAGTAACAGTATCATTGTTGAGCGTTAATTGTTGATCGCAATCGTCACACGCCGTATTCAGACATCAATAAGCAAAGCGAGAGTTTATTTGCTTAGTCAATTGATTACCGGTCGCGGTTCATGGCAGCTCAATTAACTTTTTCCGTGTCTCGGCGCGGCGCGGCGGGTGCGTGGGTTGTTTTCCTTTTAACGAATTCTCTCCACCTTTCCCTTTTTTTTACTGTGCACATATTTTAGAGCAGACAAGGTTCTTGACAGCTCGGCAAAAAGAGCCTACTTGGATAGGGTGTTTTTTTCTCTAAATCAAATAATAGCAATTTTTTCCTACGAAATAAAAGGAAGGGAAGGGGGTGGTGACAAAAATAACCTCCCAGATAGTGTTGCACTAAAATCTTGCCAGAAGTAATAAAAATAAATCAGTTGAGTATTTTGTCGAGCACTGCTTTCCCGCCGCTCACTCTGGGCTCTGATTGTCTGATGACAGACGAGGCGAACGCGCCCCCCCTCGGCCCAGCGGCGCACCCACTTACCACGCTTGCAAGGTTTACGAACCGTGCCTTGCTCTTGCACAGCAGCCTCATAAACGAGTATGAAAAATATTTCGAGCGGTGCTGTGCCCTGCAGCCGGCGCGGCCTATGGCGGCAGGTGCGCGCACTACGGGCGCACGTCCCATCCCCTCTTGGCTGCGCGCCGGCCGGCGGGCACTGCACCGGGAATACCAGATTAGCGTTGCGTTTCAAAGCAAATTAAATTATAAAGGACAGGAGCGTCGCGCGGTGCGGCCGCCTCAAAAGAGAAGAGAGGCCACTTTACATTCGGGCCGCAGTGTGGCCGCGCCGTGTACGACACCACTGCGCGCACCGAAGCGGGCGGATGTGTTTGACTTTTATAACTTCCACGGAATCCATCCACATGAGCCCCCAAAACTACGACACTCATATGTGACATACACGGCAATATGGGAAGGTTACCGGGCTCGGAGACCCCATATGATATTATATTGCATACGTGCAGCTAAAGTTTTATTCAAACACGGAAACACATGACTTCGTTGTGAGGATCAATTATGTTTGGTAAGGCTAAATTCGATAGCTGGAATCGAAAAATCGATACCCACAACCACGAGTACGAAAAGAACGAACTCCAGCTTGGTTCTATTTGTACAAGTGTTCGGTCGTGACAACCAACTCCTGCTTGTCAGGATCGGATTGTCGATTCCAGCTTTCGAATTTAGCCTACCAAATAGAACTGATCCCCACGAGAAAGTCTTTTTTTCGTTAAGATCTGGATTCTATTTGTAAAGCGGAATTTACCATTTGCATGTTGTCTTTGAAAACTATTGATTTTTTTTTCGAAAAGTTTGATGTTTTTACTGGGTAAATCTCTGGTAATAGTGCCTCCAACAGAAGGTCTTAAAGCCCCTCATAGGGTAAAGACAAGAGAACAAGCCTCATAGCATGCACGTCTCTGACAAATGCACTTCAACACATTCGCTACTGTGAAGGCTGGCTGTCAAAAAATGTATCATGTCTCTCGGTCTGTCTCCAGGCCCCGATTTCGCAGGCTTCCTTCTTCACCCCTTCCGCAAGCCTAAGAGGATCCGGACCGCCTTCAGTCCCAACCAGCTGCTCAAGCTGGAGAAGGCCTTCGAGAACAATCACTACGTGGTCGGCGCCGAGAGGAAGCAACTAGCCCAGAGCCTTGGGCTTTCGGAGACCCAGGTGAGCCCCGCGTTCAAGTCGCCACGGTGATGTAAAGGCGTGCGCGTGCTTAACGTTAAAAATGATAACTGTTATCAACTGACACGTTCTCGAGGTGACTTCAAAAACTGATAAAGTTTATTTATCAGGATTCTGATACGTTCAGGACATAAACAGTTTTTAAGCTGTTCAGATCTAATCTAGTGCTTATCGAAAGAATGAGCCAATAAACGTCAATATTCAGTGTCAGTACACGTTGTTCGGTCCGTCTACGTACTTACCCGCCGTGTGACTCCCCACCAGCCACATAAGCCACGCTTCCAGCAGGATGTAGAGAAGGGGGCGTTAAAGACATCTCAAAGGCAGGGTAATTGGCTCAGGTTCGCGCCTCGTCCGGCTGGTAACAAGGCGAGAAAAGGAACTTCCCCTCTCCTCTCTCTCTCCACCAGTGAAGGGCCCAGCCAAGCTGCAACACGGCAAAAAAATGTAACGTTACCGATGTGGAGCATTTAGCATCCTTTTAGATTCAAAAGAAACTTATTGGGGACGCTTCATATTTCTTGCGAGTTTTCAACGACTCATATCAGATCAGATGAGTGGCCTTTTTGTCTGTGTGTGTCACGCGTTCCAAACACACCCCGCTGAAGGCGCGGCCCCGCTTCTGGTTGGCTGCGTTAGCACGATGGAGTCATTGAAGCGAGCACAGTCACGTACCGGAACGCTCATTGGCTGGCTTCATAACGCGCCGAGTGAAACGCGGCCAAGGTTACAAAACGTCAAAACCAGAAACAATTTCAGATGAGCTTGAATCTATTTAACTGTTTTTTCTAAACTAATTTTCTAATACTACATTTAATTTTCGATCTTGATGTTCTACCCCTATCGTCAACTGGAAAACTGCCTTGGCATTCTTTTTCGCTCAGATATATCGATCAGCTCCAAGAGGGGAGGATAACAATTCAGAGGGAGAGTTCACACCGTCTAAAAATGCTCCACCGCCAGCCATTGCCACCAGCCCGGTCAGCATCCCCCTTCTTCATGGCCGCTAAAACCGGCTCTCGGGCGCGCCGAGCCGCAGCTACGCGCATTAGGAGAGAAACACGCCGAGCGGGAGGGGTGGCCGCCATCTTGGCGCATTTGTCGCTGTTAGCCTAGTATTGGCCGCGCTCCCCTCCGCGCGTTTGTTCAGCCAAATGGGGACCAGCTTCCGAATCTGATTGTCCCCGCTAGTGCCGCCGCGCGCAGCCAGGCGGGACCGGGAGGGGGAGGGGG